CCTGTGGTCCCAGCTACTTGGGAGGCGGAGGCAGGAGACTCGCTTGAGCCCAGGACTTGGAGGTTGCTGTGAGCATGATGCCACAGCACTCTACCCAGGGGGACAGCTTGAGGCTCTGTCTCAAAAAAAAAGAAAAGAATCCTTCAAAACAGGATGGTGCCTGTGGCTAAAGGAGTAGGGTGACGGCCCCATATACCAGGGGTGGCAGGTTCAAGCCCACCCCCAGCCAAAACTGCAAAAGAAAAAAGAATCCTTCAAAATAATCTTATTTCTCTATTAGCATACGGTACTTGTTCACGTGTAGAAAGCTTTTGTTTGATGTTTGCGTGACCGTACTTAAAATGAAAATTAATTTTGAAATAGAATTGAATCATTTAGAATAGCAGTGATTAAAGGATTATAGTCTCCCAAATTTAGGAAGATGAAAATTCTAAAAAAGAGTAATCCTGGCAGTCTGGGAGGTCATGGCACGTGCATTGCTTGAGCTCAGGAGTTTGAGATCAGCCTGAGCCAGAGTGAGACCCCATCTCTAAGAATAGCCAGGCATTGTGGTAGGCACCTGTAGTCCCAGCTAGTTGGGAGGCTGAGGCAAGAGGATCACTTGAGCCCAAGAGTTTGAGACCATGGTGAGCTATGACACCTTAGCTCTGTCTCAAAAAGAAAAAAAAATTCTATAAAAGAGTGGTAATCATAGAATATTACTGTAGAAATCAGTTAGTCTGGTGTTTCCCAAAGTATATTCAGAGTAATGTTAAAAAGTGCTAACCAGGCTCTGCTACCATCGATCAGCAGTTAGGGCGCCAGCCACAATGCATTGGAGCTGGTGGGTTTGAACCCGGCTGGGGCCTGCTAAACAACGAGGACGACAACAATGCCGGGCATTGTAGTGGGCTTCTGTAGTCTCAGCTACTTGGGAGGCTGAGGCAAGAGAATTGCTTAAACCCAGGAGTTTGAGGTTGCTGTGAGCTGTGATGCTACGGCACTCTACCCAGAGTGACATGGTGAGACTCTGTCTCAAAAAAAAGTTATATAACCCCTCAAAAGGGGTTATGTGCTCAAATAAGTTTAGGCAGCATATTAAAACTCTAACTTTTTAGTTGAACTGTTTATAGAGACCTTTAGTTTATGAACCATGTTGGAAAGCACTGCTTTTTTTTATTTTTTAAGAACTCTTTCTTTGAATTTCTTTTTTTGTAAAGAGAAGTGTTACTTTGTTGCCCAGGCTGGACTTGAATTCTTGGACTGAAGCAACCCTTCACATCAGCCTCCCAAGTAGCTGGGACCATAGGTGCCTGCCACTGTGCCTTACCAAGAATTCTTTTTTTAAAAAAATTTTAAAATATTTAATTGACAAAGATCGCATATATCAACAGATATGGCATGATGATTTCATATACATATATGTTGTATAATGTTTATTTTATTATCACAATCAAATTAACACATCTGTCAACACCCAACACCATATTTAAGATGCCTAGAATTCGTTCATCTTATAATTGAAAGTTTATGCCCTTTTATCAATATCTCCTCATTTCCCCCAGGCCCTGGCAACCACTGTACTACTCCACATTTCTGTGAAGGAAGTCCTTTATTTTATTGTCAAGGATCTAAGTCCACTGAGTCCACATGATTTATCAGTGGGCGTGTGTATAGTCTCACGCAAGGCTCCTCATTCCTATTCCAAGGTTTTCTTCTATAATTAAAATCTTGCAGAGGTGCAGAGAGGCCAGTGAAAGAACTATGAACAATTTCAAATGGAGAGAAAGAGGATGTTATACCTCTGCATAGTCTTTGCATCTCTCTCACCTCTTCTTATTCGTGAGAGGGACCCATTACCAACTCTTTGGAAGTGCTCCGAGCTTTCTCTTTGTTCTTAAATAAAATGTTTCTTTGTTATACTAAAAACAAAAAGGATATTCCCAGAAAAATGGGACTAATATGGGAATGTTAAGAATGTAATATCTGGCTCAGCGCCTGTGGCTCAAGTGGCTAAGGCGCCAGCCACATACACCTAAGGTGGCAGGTTCAAATCCAGCCCGGGCCCACCAAACAA